GAAAAAAAATTTTTTTCAGTGCAGCTACCATCCATACTCAAGATACAGAGATTTTTTTAAGTTGTTTAACATTTTTTCCCCAAAATTTTATTCATTGTTAGATATTTATTTCCTTGGACAATTGTCTTTGATTAAGCTCAACAAGGTCCTCTTAAATATTTTTTTTCACTAACTTTTTACTTAATTATGTATTTTTTAATGACTGTATTCTCTGGGCTTGCAGCTTCAACTTCAGTTTAGACATGTGAATTACGATAAATGCCAGAGAAGTTATGAATTACCGTAAATTGTAAAAAGCTGCACCAAGTAAAACAAGTTATCTTTTTTTTTTTAATGCTGGAAAACCTGCCTCAGCTAAACCCAATTACTATAAGGTGTAGAGAATAACCAAAATAAATTATGGAAATTATAGGACAGTTGTGGCACATAAATGAGGCAGATGTGTGTGTGTGTGTGAAGTCAGACAGCCTTAGAGCACCCCCTATCAGTTTGATGAGGGGAGATTCAGTTCGTCACCCTGCTGCTGCTGCTGCTGCTGCTGCACAATATGGACCAGATAGTAAATGCTGCACGAGACAATGGGCCTCTTTCACACACACACACACAGACACACACCAAAAAAAATTTTTAATTTCCATTTATGTAAAAGGTTTAAAAAGGACCAATTATTCAAACGCTTGGCCAGAAAGCTCTTAATAAAGAAATAAGCTGTTAGAGGCAGGAAATTGTTTCAATTTGCAACTTTTTTTTTTCTTTTGGTATTAATTGCAAGAATTTCGAATCCTTCTTATCCATCTTATCCACACTCATAAGGCTAATTATAGTGTTGAAGCTTATATAATGTAATGGTGATAATGATGTCTTTACGTGTGTTAAAACACAAGCTAAATAAGGTGCATTTTGGGAAGCCTGGGTGAGCTCTGGTAAAAATGGCTTCTATGATGAATTAGTCAAGTTTGAAACCAATGTGGAGAATAAAACTAATAATTATGAATTTGATTAAAACAACAAAACTTTGCCCTGTCAGTGTTTGAGTCCTGACCCCCTCCTGCTTATACCACGCAGTTTTTACTGTCGAACTCATCAAGGCCCCTGAGATGTGTGAGATCCGAGCTGTGGGTTCAGACCTGTCTCCTTTTCCTTTTGTTTTCTGTTTGCCTAAAAATAAAAAATACACGCATCCCCACATTCCGTCTACTGAGCAAACCCTGCTGGGAAAGTCGGCTAAGATTCACTCTGCCATCGAAAACAAATGACACCAGCAACATTGCAGATGGTTGCAATCAAAAATTCAAACAACAAGCGGCCTCGCTTAGCCTACACCCCACCTCCCCTCGTTTTTTTTTTTCCCCTGCCAAGCAGAGCTGCAACAGTGCGCGTTGTGTAAGGCCAGGCCTGTGTGTTTAATTATCTTATCACCATTTAATCTGTAGCAGTCCCGTTCCTTATCGTAAATCTTAGATTATCATCACAAAAAAAAAAGAAAAAGGGAGTAAATAAATAAAAAAGAAAGCTCTGCTAAATCGCCGTCAATGACTTGCGACCTACGAGGCGTGACGGTTTTTAAAGATGTAAATCCAATTTGGCAAAAATAATTTACAGATTGTGTGTGTGTTTTTCTTAAGAATGAATACAGCAGCGTTGCAAAACCCGTCAAACGTGCTCAGCAAAAATCAACTAAAAAAAAAAAATCTGAAAATGCAGAATACACAGCTGTGGCCCCCACAGCAAATCATAAATCGCTCACCAGCTCGTCTCCAGTGAGATTATCATCCGGTTACCACAAAATGTGTGTGTGTGTTTGTGTATTTATGGTGGTGTTGCAGTGTGTATGGTGGGTTCCCCACCACCACCCCACGCCCCCAATCATTTGACGGCCATATGGCGCGAATAAAGAAGAAAACATCAACTGTTTCACAAGTAGCCACGCCAATTCTGAGCGTAAACTGTTATCGTCAGGCAGAACGGAGCGAGGGGTGTGTGTGTGGGATGGGGGTCTCTGCTGAAGCCACTCCACGTTGATTTGGGAAAAAATTGAAGGGATTCTCTTTTTGTCATGACACAGACTCCATAAGCACATCAGTGAGCCTTACATAAAAAATGCTTTTARAAAGCCTGYAGGGATGTTCTTTCCTTTAAAGAGTAACAATGAAGTGTAAAACGAAGGTCAGGTTAACATATTTAACATATTTTCACACGTCTACGTGCAGYTTGTGCAGCTTCTCAGCACCAAAGGCTGAACCTGAGCGTGCGTGTGTGTGTGCGTGTGTGTGTGTGCAGGCCCTGCTTGGCTTTGGTTGCATACTTTGCACACAGGGTGCATTCGGTGCACTCGTGTGTCCTCAGAAGTCTGGTGGGGGCCGAGTCCTCCCCTCAGCCCTGGCGTTTTTAACCGAGCAGCCTGTCCAGAAATATGCTGACGTTCAGGTTTCGTGTTCTCCCAAACAGAGCATGACCCATCGGGCCCGGATAGCTGCAGGGCACAAAGCTGCCTTGGGTTGCACCGGCTCTACCCCCCGAGCCGACGTGCCGTGCGGCTGATGGATGTTGGCACCCTGCAGAAACGTCACACTAACTCGGGACTCGCTCCTGACAGGTGACACCTTATGATGATTTGGTGCTGAAAGACTTCTTTTCCCCCTACTCAGGCGAGATGGATAAAATGCTCTAATTTGGGGGATTTTTTTTTTAATTACAAATGAAGGTTTGGGATGGACTTGCGACCTGTCCAGGGTGTACCCTGCCCTTCGCACTGTGACTGCTGGAAATGGGCACCAGTGACCCACGCGACCCTGAAAAAAGGAAAAAGCGTGTACAGAAAATGGATGGATGGATGGATGAAGGTTTGGGATTGAGGACCTAACTCAAGCTTTGTCACAAAAAAACAGCAAGCTGTCCACAGAGACACCCCACGTTATTTCTCCCTCACATGTTCAGGACTGGTTTACTGACGTGGGGGGAGAGGTTGTGTTTACTGTCACTTTCTTGGCACGGAGCGAGGCCTACGTTAAAGGGAAAAAAAGAAGGAACGAACCGTGCGGCCCAAGTCCCTGGCTCTGTCAGCGCTCCGGGCCACAGTTCAACGAGTGTGCAGCCGAGTGAACGAACAGGTAGGGCGAGATTCGAGGCCCTCGGAAACGACTCGTTCCAGCATCCCTCACTGTACTCCAAGTTCAGATCCTTAAAAAAACAACAACCAAAAGCTGCACCCTCTCCCTCCCAAACTGACTGAGCTGAACAGTTTGTCGGCGTTTACAGTTTTAGCGTGACTCCTGCGATAAGTTTGCCGATGGCAGGTCAGGGGGATGATTAAAAGACGTGTGTGAAGGCAGACACTGACAGCTGCAGGCAAGAACACATGAATCCTGAGGACAGTTTTTGTTGTTTTTTTTTTCCTCTCGGCTCAAACACGCAAAAAAAAAGAAAGAAAGAAAAAAATGAGTCAAAGCTTAATCAGTGGCTGCTAATTATTAGTGCAATTATTCCACACTGCAAAGGTTTCAGAGGGAGGGAATGTGCTGACAGGTGCTTGAAAGTTTTCTGTTACTGGAATAAATCTAAAATGTGACAAATGTTCAGAGATAATCTGAGTTTGTAAAATTTAAAGAGAATTAAAAGGTTTCAATTATTTACACAGAGTGTGTTTTAGGCTTTATTTATATGTCGTTTAAATAACTGTTAAGAGTTTTTGTGATCTTGTTCCAACCTTTCCTGAATAAATAAAAGTTAAATAAAAACAACTATAAGCTCTTGTTAATGCAAAACTCTGATCACTATAATTAACACAAAATAAAATTAAGGTCATTCTTTAACTAACACAAGAAAACAAGTTTCCCCTTAATTTAGCAAAACTGGATTTTAAATTCAACACCATACGATAATAATTTGAGGTAAACATCAAAGAAATTAGAAGATTCAAACATAAAGTTTTTTTAAATAAATGCTGGGAGAGGGAAGACAGCACCTTTAACAGCTTCCAACATCAAAAATAAAAAAAATGAGTGGAGATTACATCGTGAATTAGAGCAATGAATGACTCAGATTAAGATGTTGTGGAATGGGATTTTAGTCTCAGCAAAGAATTCTGGGAGATGAAGGCGAAATTGATATAATTAACACAAAATAATGGGATTACTGCTCACAAAATTTACCTTTAAAAAAAGATCAGTTTGAGCAGAAGTCTTTGCAGAAACAAATTTATTTTATTTTATTTTATTTTGCACAATGATTTATATTTAACTTGAGTTATAACTAATAATAAAAAAGGCCTTTTTGTGTCGAAGTGAGGGGAAATATACGAGTTTAAATTTGGGTTTTAAGGTAGGAGGATATAAAAAGAGGATAAAACGCGTAAGAGGTGATTTAAATAAAAATAAAAAGAATGCAAACAGTGCCTCCCCTCCACACAGACACAGACACACAGCTGCAAACACACTCATCCCCTCAGTTGTCTTGAAACCTCGTGAAGCTGAGAAATAATCCTCATTTGATTCATTTGAAAAGTGACTCAAAGTGCGCCAAAGTTGGCCAAAAACGAAAGCAGTCCTTCACGTGTTTGTCAGCCTTCAGAGCCAAAGTCTCTCACAATAATCCAGCCTGATTATTATTTCTAAATGTTTTTTTCCTCTTATTTAAAAAAACAGCTTTAAAATGGTTTATTAATACTGGTAATGAATAAATAAAACAGAAGTGTTAGAGGAGTGAGACCCACCTTGCGCCGTCTCCCTGTGCGTCAACGAGAAGTGCTGCGGGTTCACCTGCTTGCGGCGGGACATCGCCCCGGCATTTACTCTGGCATCGCCCGGTGAACGGCGCTCGGAGTCGGCTCGGACCGTGGTGTCGGTCTTCTCTGGGTCGCAGGTAACTAGATCTCCCTTCCTGCTCCTCCTGATCGCGTTCGCTCAAGAAGGCGGAAAGTTGGACGCGCGTTTCGGAGGTGGACCGGGCGCAGCTCGGACAGGAGGGGAGGACTCCCGAGTCCCTGCAGCCGCTTCGGGGGGAAGCAACACCTGGATCAGAGGAAGCCAAAGTGTGGGTTTTTTGTTTTTCTGTTTTCTTTCTTTTCTTTTTTTTATATAATTAGGAAGCGAGAACAATGAGAAGAATAAAAATCCTGGACTGCCCACCTCTGCAGACAGAAGAGCGCTCCGCCGGAGGATGGGATAAATGCTTCTTCTTCTTCTTCTTTTATTTATTTGATTTCTCCTTTTGCTTTTCTCTGATTCTTGAAKATGTGATTAAAGTATGTCGGGTCAAACAGCAGCTGTTGGCTCTGCGGGCTCCCTACAGTCCTTCCACCTCAGCGGCGGCGCGCTAAAATGACCCTTTGGCACTGACTCCTCCTGCGCGTTTTGGCACTGGTGCGCGGAACGGCAACTCTTTGGCTCTGGTGGCAGTAGCCTCGTTGATTGAGACACACACACATACACACACACACACACACGCACACACACACGCACGCACAGTACGTAGAGGCGGGCAGACGAGACACCTCCTCCTTTTCTTCCAACAAGCTGAGGTCCAATGTTTTTTTTTTCCAGTTTTCTACACAGTGGAGAGGCTACTTCATGTTGACTCACGCGATGAAAGATGCCCTGTTCTTGTATGTGTGTGTGTGTATGTGTGTGTGCGCGCGCGCGCGCGCGTGTGCCGACTAGCTCGTGCTTGCCTCCAAACGGTGGAAAGAAATTCCAAGTTCAAGTGCGTTTTTACGCGTCAGACACAGAGGCGTTACAGTGAATTATGCGGACAATGGGGGGAGGGCACCCCACCATGACAGTCATGCAGGAAGTCATCACTAATCGCAAGCAGTTGTTTACTTTTTAAAGCCCGTCTCCTGCTGTGTTGTCACAAAAGTTCTCTAAAATCAAAACCCTAACTTTTTATATTTGGCGTTTTTTAAAGTTGTAAAACATGTTTGTGCGTTTGTTCTCCTTCTTTTTAAATGTGATTTCTCCTCAGAAGAAAGAAGGAAATCGTTTTTAAACGACTCTGCTCCCCAGGATCACGTGATCGCTTTCTCAAACTGGTCTGAAAGGTGAGCTTTAATTAAAACAACATTTATTTTCTTCAAGATTACAGCCTTTAGAAGTGTTTAAATGAATAACTAATGGTCCCCAAATCACTCAGTCTGACTGGGAGGCATAGCTGTGATGAGGCAACAGTACCCTCTGTTGGCCCAGTCGGGTGGTTAAACCTCAACAGAACGTTTAACTCTTTTCTATTTTTTTCTAACCCCCAAATACAGCAAAAACTTATGAACCTACTTTTTGTAAACATGCCTTTTTTGTCTTGCTAGAAAAGAGACACGCCAGTAGAAACTATTTTTTAAATATATTTATTTTGATCATTCATCAAATCATTTTAGGACCCCTGACTTCCTGTTTGGTGACCCACACTGTGGTCCCAATCCCAATTATTTTCTTCCTTTTTTCTTTTTTTTCTTCTCTTTTTTATCTCTTTCTTTCTTTTTTCCTTTTTTTTCTTTTCTATTTTTTCTTTCTTCTTTTTCTTCCTATTTCACAGGTCAGGCTTATTAAAACCTTCACAGGTCAGGCTTATTTAAACCCTCAAAGGTCAGGCTTAGTTAAACCTTCACAGGTCAGGCTCAGTTAAACCTTCACAGGCCAGGCTTAGTTAAACCTTCACAGGTCAGGCTCAGTTAAACCCTCACAGGCCAGGCTTAGTTAAACCTTCACAGGTCAGGCTTAGTTAAACCTTCACAGGTCAGGCTCAATTAAACCTTCACAGGTCAGGATTATTTAAACCTTCACAGGCCAGGCTTAGTTAAACCTTCACAGGTCAGGCTTAGTTAAACCTTCACAGGTCAGGCTTAGTTAAACCTTCACAGGCCAGGCTTAGTTAAACCTTCACAGGTCAGGCTTAGTTAAACCTTCACAGGCCAGGCTTAGTTAAACCTTCACAGGTCAGGCTCAGTTAAACCCTCACAGGCCAGGCCTAGTTAAACCTTCACAGGCCAGGCTTAGTTAAACCCTCACAAGTCAGGCTCAATTAAACCTTCACAGGTCAGGATTATTTAAACCTTCACAGGTCAGGATTATTTAAACCTTCACAGGCCAGGCTTAGTTAAACC